AAAAAAAAAAAAAAAAAAAAAAAAAAAAAAACCTCGCTCAAAAAAATAATAAAATGTGGTATTGGCATAAATACAGACATTATGGGAACAGCAGGTGACATGGGAGTTAAGGTGCTGGACACTCCCACATGGTTGAGCACGGTTCAAGTCCTGGACCTGGTGGCTTGCTTTCTCACTTTCCCTCTCTCTCTCTTTCTCTATCTGTCTGTGTGTCTCTCTCTGGTCAAATTAAAATAAATTAATGAATAAATAAAATTAAATAATTCTTTAAAAATAAATACATATAGACATAAAAACATGGAATGGGATAGAAAGTGTTGAGAAAGAACCACACACAAAATTGGAGGACATAAAATCAGTGAAGGTACTTAATGAGAATAGGACAGTGTGGAATGGGGGAAATGAAGAGAAGAGGATAGAAAAAGATAGCAAGTGAACAATAGAGCGACAGGACGTTAGTGAGAAACAGATATGGCTTATTAACTGTTGATGATGACATGTATAGTATTCTCAACTGGATTGGTCTGAGAAGTATTTCATGATGGGCCAAGTATTTTTACAAGCAAAATGAGAAATAGTGATTGACTGTTTTAAATAATAATAATAATGATTGGGGAAAACATAGAAAAGATATCGAATGTTGAAGAGGGGAGATTAATGTCTTTGTACTGACTGACATGCATGGCATTCCCTTTTGAAAAAGCAATGTAATACACTGTAAAGTTATATGTAATCCAATGTAATATAAAGAAGATTATGATGATAATAAAAAATTTAAAAAAATACAGAAAAACTTAAAAAAAACAGTCTGATACAAGCAGATTTTATCTTTGTATTTCTTATTAAAAATATTCAGGGTTTTACAAATATCTACACTACAGAGTTTCTCCAATTTTAGGTTCATAGCAGCTACTTGAAGTATTCATTAAATACTTCTGAGCCATCCCAGAGATTCTGATAAATAAGTTCAGAGTTGAGGGCTAAGAATCTGCACTTTAAACAAACATTTAAAATGAGTTTATGGCATGCAATCCTCAGACATTTGAGAAACACTAACCCATGGCAAAGAGCAAGCACTGTTACATGGAACACCTCACTGACCTGCCTAGCCTCTGTTTCACGTCTTACAACTCCTTCCTACATGCTATGTCAGTCCTTCATCTGGACTGACCATGCTGTTTTACCCTTTTCATTTTTCTCACATCATAATCATATTGCCAGTAATGTCAGTAATCCCTCATCTGCTTGGCAAACTTCCTCTAAGACTCAATTCAATCACCAACTTTTCTGGAGTGTTTTCTTAAACTCACTGATTCTTACCATATACATATTAATATTTAAGTAGTTATAAATTATTCACTACTTTTATTTGTTTGTCTACCTCCCTAGTTAAATTGTGAATTTCTAGAGGGCAGGGACTATGTCTTTTGCATTTTGATATAACTATACATTAGTGGGTAAACTAAAATTATGTAGTATATACACTAAATATTTGTTGATTGTATATAAGAATTAGGTTGGAGACATTGTTATCAATAGTTCATAGATACTTGGGACCAGCAGTTGGTGTAATGGCTGTGTCGCTGGATTCCCATGTAGTTGAACGTGGTTCAATTCCTGGACCCAGTGGCTTAAACTCACTCAGGGCACATATGCGTGCATGCCCAAGATCCCGAGAGAAGAATGGAGGAGAAGGGATTGCGGTGTGGCCATCCCTCCTGGAGGGTGATTTCTCACTTTCTATCTCTCTGTCTCTCTCTGTCTTTCTGGCGAGCACATGTGCCCTATAGTGAAAACTTCTCCAAAAAAAAAAAAAAAAAAAAGAAAGAAAGAAAAAAAAATAGTTCATAGATATTTAAACTGAGGCTTTGAGAAATTCACTGACTTGAGGTCAACCAGATGGCAGAAATGAAGATACCGGATTTTTTCAAATTTGAGTGTTCTTTTTTCTACCATACATGCAACTTTCCTAACATACAGGATGATTCCTTGTGCTCCATTGAGTCTTGAATTTGGAGAGTGTCCAGTGGGACTTTCCAATTTGGATACACTTAGGCAATCTGTTTATTTTTTAATGTGTATTATTTTTGATGGTGACGAGCTTGGCCTCCACAATTTTTGGATTTCTGAACCTCTAAATTTTAGGGCTGCCATATCTCTTGGTTTTCTTACAAGAATTTTAGTTATATTTCTTATACCCACTTGCTATAATGAATTGTGTGGGTAGTATTCTTACTTAATGACTAACTGTTCAAGAGAAAGTAGGCTGTTTTCAATAACTTTTCAAGAGAACACTTCCTATGTTTCCTTTTTCTGTTCTGCTGACATAGGCCCTGGGATTCTTGAATGAGATGAATAATTCTCAAACCTTATTTCAACCTTTTACCTTATTGGTATAGTAATGATTAAGCAGTGAAATGCTCCAAAGGTAGGCAACCAGAGAAAGGAAGACATAAAGGACCATTGGAAATTATCAACCAGATAAATCAGCTTTGGCAAAATGAATCTGTGTATATGTGGTTCCAAACCACTATAAAACATAGTAACACAATCTAGAGCCCCCAAACTTCACATTTTCATTTAACAACTTTCATATTTCCTTGATAACTGTATGCTTAACATAGATAATGTATACTTGTAACACTGTATCTCCTTTCAACATTTAATCAGTATGTAATGAATTAGAATAAGCTAGTCCTTTTTTTTACAACAATTAAAACTTTTATTGATTTTGTTTACATAATGTATCAGCAACTAAAGTGGTTGCCACTTTAAGTGACCACAGAAAAACAAAATAGATAATTATTTTACATGGTTATATTACAATTTTATAAAGTTAGTTACAGCATATCCTTTTTTTTTCTCTTTTTCTTTTCTTTCCTTTTTTTTTTTTTAAGAGATTTTTACTATAAAATATGTGTGCTCACAGGAGAGACAGAGAAACAGAAACTGAGAAATCACCCCCCCCTCCAGGAGGGGATGGTCATGCTGCAATCCCTTCTCTTCCATTCTCCTCTTGGGATCTTGGGCACATATGCACATGAGCCCAGTGTGAGTTTTAAACTGCTGAGTCCGGGACTTGAACCGCAGTTAACTAAGTGGGAGTCCAGTCCAGTGATGTAACCATTATGCCATCTGCTGGTCCCAGCACCCATTTTTTTTTCTATAAGTGGTATTTTTTTGGCCATACAGAAACTCTCAATATTAAAAGGTGTTATACCATATTAGCACTGCATAAAGGAAAGAAAAGGTTAAAATTACTTATAAATCCTTTGAACTGTAACATTAGTGTTAAACTATTATTTATCTGTTGCTATATTAAACAGATCTTAATGCTAGGAAACATGTTTCAGCATTAAACAATAGCACCTTTTTCTTATCTTGGTTTTAATTATGCAAAGAAATAATGTTTGTTACTTACCAACTTTTATTGATACGTTAACATTTTGAATCAAACGTTTTTTAAAAGTTCTGAATGCAAATCATTATAAACAATGCATGCACACTTTTTGGGTGCAGCTTCAAAATTTGGCAAGATGATTATAGACAATGATTCTGACATGGAGAAAGAAAGGTCATTTGGATGTGAATCAGGAGGGTATTATGATGCAAAAACTCAATACTAGTAATAAAAATGAGCTAAAACTTAAATAAAACTATACTTACAGATGATAAAAGACATTAGTGACCCAAAGTTAATTTAAAATGAAAAATCTGAAATATCTTTTCTGATGACAGGTATCTGAAAAAAAATCATTGGGAATAAATTAACCAACATATTTGTGGGTTATTTATAAATAGAGCCCATGTGGCATGTAAATTAATTATTGCCCTTTCTTTCTGGCCACATCGTTGGATTTTGGTTTACTGTGTCCTCACATTAGATGCTGGCAGAACACAACAGTATTAGCTTATCTTCCTCACATGGCCTGGCTAAGTAAAAAAAAAAAAAAAAAAAAAAGGGAGAAATTCTACTATATTTTAAGATGGAGTTAAAGCTCTGGGGTCCAATTTGTTCCTGGAGTCACTCTGAGAACATTGCACTGTGTTTTGCTGGAACAGAATCAGGACCTTTTGCATTGATGTGACGAGGAATGACGAACGTCAGGCTAAGAATGGGAATCTGACCCCATGGGTTTTCTTTCACCCACCTCATTTCCTGTATCTTCGGTTTTCCCTTCTACATACTTTCACACACATATCATCCTAAGTTAACCTAAGGCACTTTGTTGAAGAGGTTAAAAGCTTAAGCAAGAATGCACAAAGTTAGGAAGTTCTTAGTCTCCAAGAGCAGTTTTGCTTCTAAGTGATAGAAAAGCACCATATCAAGAACACTTTTCCGTTGGTTATTTCCAAAAATAATATAAACATTAGTAGTAAGTTTTACAGGTAGCTGTTAGGTGGACTAAATTGTATGATTTTTAAAAATACTATTTTCACTATAATATTGTACATATTCTAGAGCTCTTTTCCACTACGGCATGGGTGAGAGAGGATGCTGCATGTATTTTTGCCATGTGGACTCTGCACCAGGCAATCACATTCTGTCCATTGTGGGGTCATTGGCATCTCTCCATCATAAAGCTATGAACACTGGGGCCTGCCCTTCATTTAATCATCTACATGTAGTGTCTATAGCTAAGTATTTACAGATGCTGAAACTAAAGAGAACAGAGTTTAAACTGTAATAGTGAAAGAAGAATATGTTGATAATCCTGAAAACATTGTAGGTAGTATTTTCTTTGCATGTGAATGAGAGATTTCAAAGAAATTTTTCAGGGTAGCGTTTCAAACCTTCTTTCTCTTTTCCTTTGTGACAGTTGATCTTACTGAATGTAGAGAGTAATGATTTTCAAAAACAACCTTAATCTCTTGTTTTGACATTCCCTCCTGATCATTTAAATGCTTCTAATGTCCAAAAAATAAACCAACTCTACTGCTTTCACAGTTTGCATCCAATTACAGTTCGACCAATGGTGTGATTCTATCAGTAAACAAGTTGTTTTAAAGAATGTTCAAAATTTTACATTGAGTAATATAAACTTCATTTAAGAGTTCTGTTTTACAGTGGTGTTTTTTTCCTTTGTACCAGATTCACATGACTTAAAAATAAACTCCTTTCATAGGAGTTCTAAATGAGCTCATTTTTAAAGTAAGCACTGTCTGAATATGCTGGAAGTTATGAAGAGTTACACTGAAGTGCTAATTGTAAAAAATTAAGTGCTTTCACAACCAGGCTTTCTTAATTCTTATCACTTTCCTACTCATTCTGTAACCAGCTCAAAAAATGTCACGTGTTAACTATGAGTGTTAAATAATCACTCTTCCATATTTACATTGTTTTATGAGGACATACAGTTTTTTTTGTTTGTTTTGTTACATTTCATTTTGGCAAATGTTTCATTTTGTTTGAATGACTTCGGTCCAAAATAAGGAAAATGAAATTAAGTGAATATTCCTCCTTCAAGATGAGCTGTATTTATTACTGGAACGGAAGTTGTCATATCCGTGATCATTCGCTTTGAACTTTAAGCACGACTGCTTTTCCTCCAAGGACTGTTTTTCTTCAAATGACTGGCACCAGCAGCACAAGCATGACTGTACAGAACAAAGCACCTCATTATGCATTTGCCTCGGTCACTTTGTCACCAACATGCCTACCTCATTCCACTCCTGCTCTTCCTGCTCTAGGGTTCTGACTTTCTTTGCATGATTGGGATTTTTCTTTCTTTCCATACTCTCTTTTTAAAATTTTATTTTTATTATTATTCTAATATTTTTATACATTCAGTCATTGTACATCACTACAACTTGCAAAATGAATTACCCAACATGAATACACTTCACACCAGTCCAGTTGAAGTTATTATACATGTTATCATCAACAGACAATCCTCCATTTCTGTGTCCCCTAAATGTTTTTCCTCTTAGAAAGATGTAATTACATTTGTAAAATATAAATGTTTTTCTTTTTTCTTTTCTTTTATTATTTTTGAATTGCCAGAGGGTGCATGCACTTGCCAGAGAGAGACAGAGAGAGGAGAGGGAGAAATCACCCCCCACTGGGGCATGGTTTTGTCGCAGTCCTTTCTCCTACATTTCTCTATGCTATTAGAATCTTGGGCATATATGCGCCTATGCTTGCCAAGTTTTCAAGTTGCCAGGGCCAGGATTTGGATCTGTGGTAAGCCTGTAGGAGCTAGCTAACTCTCTTAACCGCCAGGCCACAGGCTGGCCCTATGATATATATTTTTTTAAGGTTTTTGCTATAAGGTATATCTGCTCACTGGAGAGAGACAGAGAGAGGGAAAGTGAGAAATCACTCCCCAGGAGGAATGGTCATACTGCAAACCTGTCTCCTTTTGAGATTTTGGGTGTGTACACAAGGGTGCTTGACATGATTATAAGCTGCTGTTTCTGGGACTCAAACCATGGTTGGCCATGTGGGAGTCTAGTGCCTTAACCGCCATGCCACTTGATGGCCCCCATGATAATTTTTAAACTGAAAAGTCCAAAGGAAAAAAAGATCTATGTAATTGAAATCCCTCATAAAGAGAAAGCCAGTCATAATTTTTGATATTTAATCTTGATTAGTTGACAAATACTTTTAATGTTTGTTACATACATAATTCAAGCCTTTTCACTTATGCAGACAGAAATAGTACCATATAGGTAACTATATATTGGCAGGTTTGTCAGGGTGTGAATGATTTACTTTGACGAGACTGTACTGTACAGAGTCTATATAACCTTCTTTTTCTTGTTTGGCAGTGTCACAAACATCTTTCCATGTCAATGAATTTAATATTATTTGGCTATTCTTTTTTTCAGCCACATGTTATCCTCATGTGCCTTTCCTATATTGTTATATAATGAGATTACAAGGTATACAACCATCTCAGTTTTATTTTTCTAAATTTTTTGTTGAATTTTCCAAAATCTGAAACTTGGTTCTACTTTCTGCGAAGCTAAAAGCTTAAATTTTGAAATGGGCAGAATTTATTTATTCTCATTTTCCTCCATTTAAAAAAATAAGAGAGACTTCAAAATGTTCATTAAAGAATAGAATTAAAGTAGGAATTTATTTTGGAACAAAAAATTCTGAAGTCCACGTATCGTTTTTTTCACAACACACATTTTCTATGAGCTTTTGGAAGCCCCCTCATATACGTATAAGAATATGAGATGCTCATTATTTTCTGTGCAGTAAAATGAGGGAGTTGATCTGGATGAATATTCTCTTTCAGCCCTAAAATCTGAGTTATAAGTAGGAAAATAAGTTTACAGACTGCCTTAGTTACATGGAAGCTAAGTTCTTGGCTTTCTAATAAATAAATACCAAGGGCAAATGGGTCATTCCCATAGGAAGCTAGAGGATATTTTATTTCATGTTAGCGTGTTGAGAGAATAAATGAATGGATAGATGGCACAATGTAAACAATAGAATGTGAAATAATGGTCCATATTTCACCTTGAGCAATACATGTCTGCTGTACCAAGAAGGTAGAAAGGTAGAACCTGAATTGAATTTATTTGACTTCTATTTTCACAGTCCATGTGCAAAAAGGACTAGCTTAGTTATAATACAAATTATGGCTGAATAGTCTAAAAATCTGCATAATCTGGAAACAGAATTTCATTTGTCTCTAGCTCTTATTTTATCATGTTAACACCAGTCAGACATCAATATATGAGAGTTTTATTAGCGTTCTTAGCAATTTCTCGACTATCACTGATTGCATGAGGTACAGAGTGGCTGATTAGGATTTAAGGCAAAAGTCGACTATAGTGACTTATAAACAGAAGTCTTATTAACAAAATCACTAGATCTCTCTGGGCAGAAATAGTAACATTTTGAAGGGTTATATGTGATGCCAGATGAAAAAGAACTTTTTTTTTGTGAGTACTGTCTTACCTTAAAGCAATTTTTGAATCTTTTGCTCACCAAGTACAGAGCAATTGGATTAATACAAGAATTCAGGGAGGCCATGTTGATGCCGATGTAGTCCAATATCAGTAAAAAGCTGCAAAAAAATAAAAAAATTAAAAAAAACTAAAACTCAAAGTGTGTCTTTTAAAAATGTACTGCTCTGAGCAGTATTTATAGCAGACTGCTGTTTTTGGTAAAGAAAAAGGGATTATCCCTATTTTTTTGGTTCTGAATTTATCCCTGGTCTTTGTTAATACTGATTTTTATCTCCTTCTGTCTCTGTATCTCTATGGCCCTCCATCCATGCCCCTCCCATACTCAACATACTCTTTTAAAATAAATCACATTTGGAAGGCCTGAATTTGGATGAAAAGAAAATATTTACAAAGTGCAAAGGAGAATCAATTCTAATATTTTCCATCTTGCCGTCACTTACCATTTTGTCAATCCTGTCTTTGTTACCTGGTGTTCTTTTAAGTCCTCTTATGCCTCCTAAAATAGGAGCTCAGGTAAAGTGTCTTAATTGCTCCCTAAGGATTAGACAAATGGTACTCTCTCTTTCTGCATATGAAAGTGATCAATGGAAACACTTCTGAATGGCATTTATTTACAAAATGATTTCTATTCCATAGTTCTTACCTCAAAAGTTCACATCTATTGGGATCATTCTGATCATAAAGTGTAAGCTTCAAAATCCTGCTGAGATGAAGGGGCAGCCAACAGAGAGCAAAGACCAGGACTAGACAAAATACTGTTTTGGCCACTTCCCGTCTCTGAAATAAAACCAGAAATGTTTATTGTGAACTAGAACTAAAATCACTAGAGGTTCATCTTTATTTATTTTTAAATAATTATTTATTATCATTATTTTTCAATTTTGACCAGATAGAGACAGAGAGAGAAAAAGAGAGAGAGCAAGCCACCAGGTCTGGGACTCAAACCACTGTCAACCATGTGGAAATCCAGCACCTTTAACCACCTCACCACCTGCTAACTCCTAGAGGTACATCTTTAAAAAGTAATGGTTCTTGTTCCTTTCTCTATTCTTTTTAATTAGTCTAGCTAATGGTGTGTCAATTTTGTTTATCTTCTCAAAGAACCAGCTTTTGGTTTCATTTATTTTCTGTATACTTTATTCTCAATTTCAATTATTTCTGCTCTGTATTATTTCTTTTCTCCTGGTATTTTTGTTGTTATTATTTTCTCATTTCCCTGAAGTGTGTTGATAGGTTGTCTATTTGCCACCTTTCCATTTTTTTCTTGTGAGCACTAATGACTATGAACTTCCCCATTATAACTTTTTTCACTGTGTCCCATAGGTTGTGAAAAGTCATGTGCTCATTATCATTGGTTTCAATGAAACTTTTTATTTCATTCTTAATTTTTTCAGTGCTTGTGAAGTCATTCAGGAGTAGGTTGTTCAGTTTTCATACGTTTGTATATTCTTGAGTTTTTTTTTCCTTCTGCAGTTCATTTCAAATGTTATTTCCTAAAAGAGAGGCATCATATGTCCCCATTTAATATATACAAAATGTCTGTACTCTATGGCAGAAACTGAAATATAGGAAGGTATAAAAGCATGGAAAGCAACTGTGGATATTAGAGATAGTGTGGGAGAAGGGTGGGAAATGTGGATGGGAAGGAGGGAATGATGCAGGGAGGAGAAGCAAAACATTCAGCAGGCACAAAAATGGAAAATTACTGTTGATAATTTGTATGATAATATCTGACTGACTAACATACAGTGTATTCATGCTGGGAAAATTGATTTTCTATATTGTAAAGATATACAGTGATTTAAATGAAAAAATAAGAAAAAAAATAATGGTTCTCCTAGATCCTTTTAGATCACATAGGGTATCTCTAAATAGATAATATAAAAATATTCATTTTACATCCCAAAATACTAAAAGCAAGAAAAGAAAATATGCTCTGGTGTATAATAATTTTAGTTCATTATTATAATAATTTTCATATTCATAATCATAAATACAACCATGAGTCATCAAATATTTATATTTTCTTACCTGCTTTAAGTGATCATTTAAAGCAATTTGCATGCCACTCTTCTTTCTCAGCATTTCACAGGTCATCAGAGTATAAAAGAGTGCAGTGATGGCCAATGGCAAGCAGAAATAGAAACTAAATAGCCACCAGTCTTTTGCTATCTTGTAAAACTATGGGAGAAGGGATGATTTTTGATTAATACTTCTTACATACCAAATGTTAAAATTAAAAAATACTTTATTCATTAAGAATTAATTATCTCCAGCATTAGATCAGTTTTATGAGTACCATACAGTATCTTTCAGGTCACATATGCCAAATAAATAATTAAATACCTATAGTAAATAAAACAATCTTTTCTTTAAAAGTATTTCAGTTTTCAAAAGACATGTGCTATAGTTTTGTACAAAAATATTAGTACTTGGAAAAACTTTGAAATATTCAATAACTGAATTTTTTGTCTTTACATAAGTAGTCATTATTAGGGAATTCTTTGAAATATTGTATCTTAATATGTAAAGATAACCTAGTGTTTATGTAACGTTTCCACTTTTTAGCGAGTTTGTTTAGTGTCAAAAATATATGAAAAGGTCTATGCTAACCATTTAGCTCAGTGATATATAAATCTAACCTTGCAATTATAACTTGTGCCTTTTCTCTTTTTCATTTTCTGCTGTATTATCTTTTTTAGAGAATTGCACCTGGTAGATCTGTGTTGCAGAAAACTGTGCAACCTATGCAGGGTCTTTTTATTATTATTATTATTATTATTTTACTAGAAAGAATGTTCTTTATCTTTTTACTTACCATAATATACATAGTTGATGACATTTTATATAGTCTTCTTATATGTAAAATAGTAATAGAAAATAATCCTTAGTTATAGTTAGACTTTCTCCCTCTACATTAACTTTTCTTAACCCATTCTGTTGAGAAGACCCTTTTAAACTTAGGATCTCTTGGATCTATTTTCTGGAGACCAGCATTACCATTCTTTTCCTATTTCTAATCAAGTGTTCTTTAATAAATGGCCAATATGAAATGTTCTTTGCAATGGTACATTTCCCACTAGGATCAAAAACAGAGGGAGAAGGCAGGCTTGCCATTCAGAATCCACCCATATCAGGGTGACTTCTATTTGAACATTTGCTGAATCATCTCTTCCTTTGATGGCTGCTGTGTTTGTTGTCTCTCACTGAACATGTAGTAGTCAGTCCTTATGAAGCCTTAGGTGGAAAAGCTTCATATCAATTCTTTCATGTGAACTTGGTTAATCTGTGTCCCTGAGATCCAGGGGGTTCTTGAAGTAGTGACCCACCTTCTTTTAATTTGGGTTATTTGTTACCATTAACACCTCTGTCCTGGGACCTACACTCTTAATTTAGGCTGAGGATAGTCACAAATCAATAACTTTTCAAGGAAGGGAGGATGGAGAAAAACAGCTAAATATTTATAAGTCAAGAATAGAAAAGAAAGGAGAAAAAGTAATATTTACCTGCATAAAGGCTGTTTTCTGAGTGGGATGAAGCAAACAGACTCGCAGATAACTTCCTTTGTAGTCAATTGTGATCATATCAAAACCTATGGCTTCAGGGACAGCCAGAACCACAGAGACCACCCAAATTAAAACAATTTCTACCGCTGTCCATTTTGGAACCCCAATTCCTTTAATACGACTCCAAGAAGCAACAGCTCGATATCTGAAGATAAAAACAGAAATGTTTTTCAAGGTGTCAGGCCTTAGTTTTATAGAATTACACAGTGTATTTTCTAAGTGACTTAGCAATCAGTAGTACACTGTGTAGCACATATGTGGCCTAAATAGGAGCTCTTACCTATCAATACTTAGAGCACATAGACTCAGCACAGTGATTCCCACGGAGGCCTTCTGTATGAACGGCACCAGCTTGCACATCTCAGCTCCAAATGGCCAGTCTTTTGCGAGCAGCTGCATTGGGAAGATGTGCAACTCTGTTAGGGAGGGTTTCACACGATACCCTCTGAACTGCGTTACTGAGTGCACAGAAATTAACATGCAGGGTGAGAGAGTATATTGTGGATTTATTCTTTACCTCACGGACTACTCCTTTGAAAAGCAACAGTGTTCAATATATGGAACAGGTGAGTGTATTGGGAATAATGAAAATGTAGCTAGTTTATGAGAATTCATCATGTGTATATAATAACATAGACTCAGAATCTCCTCGACAGAGCCACTTGGGGCCAGTCACTAAGTTTCTTTTGAAAAAATCAAACCTGCATATTGTCATAGGGTCTCAAATGCTCAGGTCATGGCCAAATCAAAATATAGGCTAATTAAAAATAGATGACATGTATTCTTTAGGTAAGGAGATTCGACTACTCCTCTGGAGTAGTGCTCTATGGAGACCAGTGTGTGCACTTGTTCTTTACTGCAGTCAGTATACTAATTGGATGGTAACTCAGGCAGAGTAGCCCCACCATTCCTTAAACACATTAGGCACATTCC